ACCTCATCCGCGGCGCGGGCCGCCTGGGCATGCCGCTGACGGGCGACGCGGTGACGCAGTTCCTGAAGGTGGTGGACAGGATCGAGGAACTAGGGCTGCCGGGCCCGGGGCGGCGCGCGGACGCGATGCGGGCGGCGTACTCCGAGGCCGCGGTGCGTTTGTGTGTTTTTTGGGGGGGCAGGAGGGGGGGGGGAAATCAGGGTTCGGAGTGCGGGCAGCAGGGGGTGCTGGGTTTCGGAGGGCGTCGTCACGGAACAGCGGCGGGGCGGAGGGCGGCCGGGGGCGAGCGTCACGCCGATGCTGCCTCGGAGGCTCTCCCCTCCGCGTCAAAGCCCCTCCCCAAGCGCCCGGATTATGCTCACTGCTCCCCCCTCCTCCCCCCCAAAGCAATAAATCCTGCCTCTCCCCCCTCGACGCTCAGTACTCGCGACCACGCCGCTCCTTGACACGCACAAACCCCTGCTGCCCCTGACCTCCCAAACCCCCCACACCCTAAAACCCAAAACCCTGCCGCAGGCCCTGAACGAGGCGCAGGACCCCGACAGCCGCCTGGGCATAGGCATCAAGCTGCTGCTGGTCGGCCTCACGGGCACCGGCAAGAGCGAGCTCGCCAACACGCTGCTGGAGCGGCCCGCGATCAGGACCAACGCGTTCAGGGAAGCCACCAAGAAGGTGGGCATTACGTGATGACAGCCGCGATCCGGGGGCGGCGATCTGGGGACGGCGATCTGGGGCGCCCGCTGCTTGGCCGCGCCCGCGGCCATATAATAGGGAGGGAGCCGGGGCAGTGGGGATTTTGGCGGCCACCGCCCCCAGTTTTTTTGCAAGCGATCTGGGCGTCATTGTGGGGGTCGGGTCAGGTCCAGCACGCCGGGGCGACTGGGCTGACCCGCGACCCCCCCCCCCCTGCGGCACCCTCGGCGCCTCCCCCGTGCAACCTCGGACCTCCCGACCAGATCCGCGTGGTCAAGGGTGACGTGCGCGGCATCGGCCTCACCATCATCGACACCCCCGGGCTCCACGCGTCCAGCGACATGGCTCTGAGCAACAGGGGCATCCTGAGGTCGATTGGGCGCGCTTACAAGAAGCACAAGCCGGACTTCGTGATCTACGTCGACAGGTGCGATCCAAGATCACGATTCGCACGACCCCCTGCCCCCCCTCCTGCGCTCACACCCTCTTTGCTCACCAGACACTCTCGCGGTATCGACGAGGCAGCAGGCTTGTAACACAATCGAAACTCAGAACACTTCAAATGTTTGCTGCGCCTCCTCCTGCCCCAATTCACTCAACTGTGCAAGCCCCTCTCAACCCACGCTTCCACCCGCGCACACTGCGCGTGCCCCTCAACCCGCACCGACCCCCACACGGCCCCGCACCACCCCTCCCAACCCGGCCCGCCCGCCCCCGGCCCAGGCTGGATGCCGCCAAGGCGTCCTTTGGCGAGCTGTCCACGCTGACTCAGCTGGGGGAGGTCCTGGGCAAGGGCGTGTGGCGCAACCTCATGGTGGTGCTGACTCACGCCAACGCAGCGCGGGAGCAGATGGGCGCGGAGTACGCGCAGGTGCGCGCATGCGTGTGCGTGCGTGTGTGTGTGTATGTGTGTTTGTGGGCGGTGTGTGTTTGTGCGCATGCACATGTGAATGCGAGTGCGCGCGCATGTGTGTGCGAGTTGTACTCGAGATATGCCCTCTGCCGGCGGAGTCGCCCACCAGTGCCGACCACTCCGCACGCTCCTGCCCTGCGCCGCCACCCTAACCCCTAAACCGTGAAACCCGGAACCTAAAACCCCCCCAGACTATGAAGCAACGGCGCAACATCCTGGGCAACATCATGCGCCAGGTGGGGATAACCCAGGGGGGCGGGCACCTTGTTTTGGTGCAGACAAAAGGATGGGAAGGGGGAGCAGGTTTGGGGGATCGTCGAAATCGGCTCCGGCACCATCGGGCGGGGGACAGCCGGGGTGTGGGCGCGGGGCCGTTGGGCGCGATCCGAGGGGGTTCGGAGCAACGATAGGGGGCGCTGGGGTGGGGGTGCGGTCGGGAAGCAAAGGGTGTGGGAAGCGGCTCTACTGCCGATGGCGTTGGCGTTGAAATCGCGAGGCGGGCTTCCGCTTTGGATGCCGCTGGTAAAATGCGAAACATCAAGGACGGGTGCCCTCCCCACCATCCGTCTGGGGCCTTGCGCCCTGACTCCCTCCGGCACGCACGCACACACACACACACACACACACACACACACACACACACACACACACACACACACACACACACACACACACACACAC